TCACAGACACACACTGGAACACAGAGATACAGACACTGTTAGTCACAGACACACTGAATACAGTGATACAAACACTGTAAGTCACAGACACACACTGGAACACAGAAATACAGACACTATAAATCACAGATGCACACAGATCCAAAACAGTGATTAACAGACAAGGTAGTCATGAATTACCAAATTAATCTGGGGACATCATTTCACATTTTCCCAAATCTGTGTTTTTTAAAATTGTGACTTTATTAAGAAGACATTTAATACTTGGAAAATGCTTAAATATACCGAGACAATAAATAGAAAACATTCTATTGGTTTAAATACGTTGTGTAGTTTCACAGCCTGCAAACAGTTTAAATAACCAATGGCCACCTGGCTCCCCAGTGCCCTCTGGTGTTCAGAAGGAGAGCTGGTCTCGCCTTCCCACTGCACTACTGTTTAAACATTTACCCCCAGATCTGTGAAATGACTGGATCGTAATTGCTGTTGTAAACCTCTGGAAATGAGCTGTTGAGATGAATAATTGTTTTATTACATCAGGCTCCTGAATTTCAACAGAAGAGATGAATATGTTATGTTGTTTGTGAAAGAGCAGAAGAACACCACTTGGCCACTATGGCCAGTGACATTCCTTCCAACGTTATATCCCTGTTCCTGTTGAGTAATTCATGTCATTGTCTAAAGAGAAATGTTCACTTACCAAGTCGTTTCTCTTCCCCTGTAAAGAAACACAAGTAGTGGAGTCAGTGACGCTGATACAGACTCCTGCACTGACATTGGCTCTCAAAGAGTCACACTAATGTAATATCATTCAGATTCCCTCAGTGTGTCTCCTCTGTAAGAAACAGTGGAATCAGTGATACAGACTGCTGTGATATAGACCCCTATACCGACACTGGCTTTAGAAGAGTCACACTAATATAATCCAGATTCCCTCAGTGTGTCTTCTCTGTAAGAAACTGACACTCAGTAACACTGATACAGGTGAAATATGTGCTCAGATCCAGTGCAGTATGATGACAGGGGAGAATGCTGTATTTTCTGTGGTCCTCAATCCCTGTGTTGTTCCCACTGTTTTCACTAGTAAGCTCTCTGGGCCGAGAGAGAAGTGTTTATTTTATAAAGGTTTCTCAGTGACAATGTTCATCACAGTTTGGAATGCAGTTTTAAACAGAGTCAGGAAAAAATTATTGTGAGGTTATGAGAAATGTAAATATCTTGTATTTGTTCATCACTGTGCTGGGTTGTTGATTTGAACAGAAGCATGACAACATTCTTGTAAAAACTGAGAAAAGCTTTGATTGGTTGAAGAAGTATGGAAGGGACACTGTCTGGTGATTAAGAGCTCAATGACGTGCTTGGACTGTATAAATCACAGCTCCCTCTCCTGGTCTTGGTCAGCACTGACTGTGTCCCTTCCTCTACTGTTTGATAAGGTGGTGACTTTCCCACATGAAGCTAAAAACACTGAGCGAGTTACTGTACTGACTGTACTGTAAAGATCCTGTACTGACTGCAGTCTGGAGAGGTGTGCTCAGTAGAGTGTGTGACCCTGATATATCAACCAGCAGCTGTATCAGGTTGTGAGAGAAGATCCTGTACTGACTGCAGTCTAGAGAGCTCGGCCAAAGCAACTTAGATATCATGTGACAATTTGTAAGGGAATTTGAACACACTCTGCTTACGTCACCATAAGACTTAACCCACACTTCTCCAGGGGGTGAGAATCAGGAAGGAGCTCAGCAGGAAGTTCCTGGGTGTGTAGAGCTGCAGTGAATTTCCATCTCAGAGGAGAGGATAAGAGTTTCAATGTTTTCAGTGTTTCACTGATGCGCGTGGAAGAACTCCTGAGGGATTTCAGACAGACTTTCTGCCACTGTATAAAAGCTCACAGTGAGACTCATCTGAAGAGATAGATACTGGAGGAGCTGATTCTGTATCTGCAAATAGCTGTTGATGTACGATACTGGTTCTGACTGATAGAAACACATCCCGCAGTGTTCTTGACATAGTGTCTGTACACTGACCCCTGTTCTCAAGAGCAGGGTGTCCTGTGCTGATTGTGAACTGTCATACAGTGGTGTTTAAACCCCTCCTGACACAGACATTCAGACACACATCTCTAATGAGCACATACTGTCCATTCTCCTCCACTGGATCACCAGAAGTGCTGATGCTGCTACAGTCACAGCTGCTGTTACACAGAGAGCCACCATCCATCCAGAGGGTTCAGGGAAAAAGTCTCCTGGAAAACAGCACAGGAACACAGGAATATGATCCCACAGGAACTGAGATACAACCAATCTCCTAGTAGCCTGGTTCCCATAGAGTACATCCAGAACCTGGACAATGTTCCTGGTCAGAGATTTGAAAGTGATTCGTAAATTGCTGTGGTAAAAGTATATCTATATTTATCTTTATAATCTAAATAATAAAATATCTCCCACTGGTCAGGTATATTGAAGAAGGTCATGTGTCAGTTAATACAGTTAATGATGTGGATGTGAGTCAAGATGACTCCCTGTTATTTGAGAAAAGCTGCAGAATGAGGCACAGCAGGTCTTAGAGAGTCTTTGTCACTCAGGGTGAGTGGGAGTCCCTGTGAAGGACAGGAGCTGTCAGGACAGGCTCTGTGAGGAATGAACCACTCCTCTGGGCTCATAAAGGGGTTTCAGTCTGTGTCTGGGCTCCAGGTATAAGGAGAGGAGGGAGTGAGAGAGTGAGCGTGAGAGTGAGAGCTGGGAAAGACTGAAGACGACACAGAATGGGAGGCACTGAGGGGCTTCACAGGTTCTGGACAGGTGGACTGTGTGGGAGAATCAGATGAGAGAAGACAGTTTTGGCAGCACAGACTGAGTCTAAAGTACTGCCTGTACCTTAAGATCTCCACATAGATATGAGGACTGAGAAAGCTACTTCTGTATCAGGGACACACCAGAAAGACATATTGGGACCAAACAGGATCAGTCTGGAGAGTGAAGAGTCAGAATGAGGAAGAGTTTTAGAGTGGCAGAGAAGTGCAGGTCAGAGAAGAGTCTAGCTGAAGAGAGACAATGAGGAAGAGGAAGAGAGGATTGGGTGACATGGAGTGAGTCAGAGTGAATATGACTCTCCAGTGCCAGGCAGTGAAGAGTTAGTGAGAAGAGTGAGTGTGAAGAGCAACAGGAGCTGATTCTGTATCAATGTCAATGGACATGAGAGATAAGACCAGGGAGGACCTGCAGACAGGAAGTGTCTGTTCACAGCGGAAGAACGTGGCTCTGTATTCGAGTGCAGACAGGCCCTGAAGACACTGAAAGTCAAGGTGTTGCTGCAGTGTGGGGTGAAAGTGGAGATGTGGGAAGGAAGGGCTGTGGTTGTCACTCTCAGACTGAACCAATCGCTGTCAAGTCATTATGTCAGACAGCTGAGAAGATGGGCTGGAAGGAACAGAGATAATTCCTCCTTTGACAGAACAAGAGACTGTTGCTGCCCTGGTAATGACTATAAAGGGACTGAATATAGGTTTAAGAAAGGGACTTCTTTTATAATTGTGGAAAAACTAATTTCCTTTTTGAGATACCTATCATGCTAAGGGAGTCCATAATCAATATCAGACCATGATCTGGGGAGACCAGGAGTCACAACACCTCATCAATATTGATGGGTGTCTAAGTGTGGAGATCAGGACAGGACTGTCCAATCCTAATGAACTCAACAAGCAAACAACCCTGAAAACATCACATTCTCATTCAATACAGTACTTACTGGGTATGTGGAGCTGAGATTCCCCGTCTGCCTTGGACTGTGTGCTTCTGACCAGACAGGAGAAGATGTTGGACTCCTGCTGGACTGGGATGTAGCTGTTGACACTGAGGAGCCCCTGACTGTCCTTCCCCACTGTGCTGCTGGACAGTGAGGTCACATCATGTCCATCCCTGTCTGTCCAGATCACTGCAGGTGCAGGGAACCAGCCCTCTGATCTGCACAGCAGCTGGGTCTGACCTCCTCCAGGGGAGTGGAGAGACACTGAAACATCTGCCAATAAAGAAAACATCCTAATTGCCAGAACCTCAGAATTGTTTCTGAGAAGTGACAGTGTCTGAAGTCTTGTCACTGATGAGCATCAAGGAGAGACACACTTCTCCTCCAATCACTGCAGACTCTCCTGTTAGTCACTATAGAGCTCACAGTGCAGTGTGTTCAATCCCTTAATTGAACAATTGACTGTGTGGATTCCAAGAAAAGCTCACTGAACTACAGAAGTCCTGCAATCCGTCCATCTACAGCTCACAGTCTCAGTGTTAAGCACATCTCCCTGAATCTGGCAGCTGATAACTGATCAATGTGGACCTGTTGGCTACTAAATGACATTTCATTGGCTCATAATAAACATCCTTCTGTAACTTTGCCACCTTTGGTAATGGCTAAAAAATAACTGTATTGTATTATTTATAGGATGCATATAATTTAAAACAATATAATAACAAAAGAACACTCACCTCTAACAGCCAGGGAAATTAGAGTGTCTTCATAATGATCCACAGACTCCACTAAACACTTGTACTGTCCATGATCTGAGAGACGCACGTCCGTGAGCTTGAGAGACACGTTGCCTCTGGGGAGCTCCTGCAGGAACAGCTCAGCTCTGTCCCTGTAGGCTGGGTTCTGTATCTTAGTGTTATAATTGAGGTTTTGATACAAACGCACGGGGGAATTATAATCCCCTCGAAACCACCTGATCTCCAGGTCCACAGCACTGATGCTGGGTGAGAGGTAACAGGGCAGGACAGCATCTTCACCAGGGGACACAACAACAGGAGCAGCTGGACCATGAACCTGGAAACTCTCT